TAAATATCTTGGCAACAGTTTTGTGCCAACTATTTCTTTTGAATAGAGCTTCAATTAAATTTAAGCTTTTCTTCTTTCTCCTAGCCATGTGCCATGACTAGCTAGCTATTGATTTTGAATTAATGTACTAGAGAGAGTGGATGTCTTGAATTGTCTTCATCTGTTGCATTTCCTCCTGTGTCTCAGCTAGTAGGATTAGATCATCTACATAAACAGCTTCCCTCTTTTATTGATTTGATTTGAGTGAAGACATAAGCAGTAGTGCTCTCTTTAAAACCAGTGCCTTCATGTGGCTTGTAAACTTCTCCTTAGGCTTCCAGCAACGTGGAGATTGTTTTAGCCCATACAGAGATTTGTTAAGCTTGCATGCCAAATTCTGCTTGCCCTCTTGAACAAAACTGGGTGGTTGTTCCATATAAATTTCTTCTTTAAAATCACCATTAAAAAATGCTGTGATTACATCCATTTGACAGACTAACATGGGCTTACCTCTTTCAGCAGCATAGGTGAGTACGATTAGAAGAGAAACAAGCCACTGGGGAGAAAGTCTTTTCATAATCTACTCCATACATGTACTTTTGAGAATGTCCTTGGGCAACGAGTTGACCCTTGAATCAATCTACTTTTTCATCACCATCATACTTGACTCGAAATATCCAATTACTTTCTTCCTCTCAGGTAGCTTCACTAGCTCCCATGTATTATTCTTCATCAGAGAAGCATACTCTGCTTCAGCAGCTTCCGTCTCTCCATTCCTTTGAGTGTTTCATACTCACAGCATCCTGAATTGATGTAGACTCATCTGCTTGACATACAGAATGACATAGTCATCAATTCCATATCTTACAAAAGCCGTTTAGTTCTTTGAGAACGTCTTGGCTGAGGTTGTGAGGGTTCAATGAGTCTCATCCTCTTCTTGAATTGTCACCTCCTGTTCTTCACAGTCCAACAGAATTTCTCTATTGACCATCTCTTCAATTGATTTCTCATTTTCTTTTCCTAACTTTCAAAGTCTTCCTCATTAAAGGCAAGGTCATGTTTGATGTAACACCTCTGCTTAACCTCATCCCACACTTTGTAGTTTTTCTTGTCTCAGTGTAGTCTATAAATTTAAACCTTGCATGTGGTGGCTTTCTTGTCTAGCTTCCTACTGTCTCCAGCAGGTATGAGAGCATACGTTGTACAACCAATTGTGCGAAGGTGTTTTAGATTTGGCTTCTCATTAAGCCACATCTGATATGGAGTTATTCCATTTTTAGTGCAGATGTTACTATTCTGTTTTTCATATAAGTAGCAGTATAGACCCCTTTAGGCGAGAATTAGTTTGTGATACCGTATATACAAAGAAATAATATTGAATGGATTTTTGTCCGCCATGTTTTACGTCAAAGTTATGCAGAGTTCCAATGGCTGGTGTGCAAAGTAGAGCTGTTTTGCCAATAAAACTTTTGTTGTGCTGAACTCAGGACTATGAGAGGCTTTATATCAACTGTTCTTTACTATAGCAAGATATTTTGAAGATTTAAGAAGTCTGGGAGAGCCAGAACGATCAGTTCTTGACTCTCTGTCACAGCCCAAAGAGGAAAGCAGGCTCATACAACAAGAGTATTGCACTATACTTCCTAGGTTGGCTCTCTTAGCATCTTTCTTGACTCTAGAATAGTTTTTAGCTTCAAAATGTAGTGACCAAGATCTCCAGGATACAGAAAGCACTTGCTGCTTGACGTAAAACATGGCGGCCAATTATTGTATGTGGGCGTATACCGTAATTGAGATAATGATATTCATTGCAAAATTAATGATATTCACAAGCTGCTACTTCTCGCCGAAAGGGGTCTATACATTCCTGCCCATGTGCATTACTTAGACCTGCATGTATTATCATAGACCTTGCATTCTCACCCAGAATCCTGTTAAGTCTTTCAGTGACTCCATTCTGTTGAGGTGAATAAGCAGCAGTATATTTGTGTTTGATTCCATCTTCTGCTAGATATGATCTAAATTCTTCAGACATGAATTTGCCTCCTCTGTCTCCACGAATAGCTTTGATTTTCTGACCTTTTTCTTTCTCTGCAATTGCCTTAAATTCCTTAAACTTATCAAACTATTCGGACTTATGTGTCATGAGTAAGACCGAGAATATCAAGAGAAATCATCTGTAAAGGTGATAAAATACTTACTCCCTGCAAACGACTGTGTTTGCATCGATCCACATATATCTGTGTACACTAAATGTAATTTTTCAGTTGACTGATACCTTTCAAAGGATTGCACGGCAATCTGTGCATCTTCCCTTCTACACAGGCTTCACAGAAGCTTTGTCTCCCATCAGAAGGTAGAGTGATTCCTTCTGCACAGTCAGCTAGTTGATATAGCGGTCTGATGTTGACATGAGCTAGTCTCCTGTGCCTCTTATTATATCTCTAACTACATTAGCTCTCTTTCACTGATTTAATTATTCCCCCCATCGAGTTCCCTGCTTGTGAGCCAGTACACGCAAGTGGTTTCTTACTGTTTCTACTCCAGCATTTTACTCCCAAATGACACAGTATTCCTATTGGTAGTTGTATAGCTTGAACACTAAATAGATTACTAGCAAGCTGAGGGTACATAGAGAACATTATCCATCCACCCAACAACCTTTTGGTTATTTGCTAAGTATGAGATGAACTTGACTTAGCCAGTTCCTAGAGCACTTACAGTACAACCTTGACCCAGCCAAACTGGCTCTGGAGTTTCGAATTTTTGATAATAGCGGAGCATATCTCTGTCAATTGTCATGTGTTTACTTGCTCCTGAGTTGATCATCCATTCATGATTCTTTTCTATGTCAGCTATTTGTGGATTGGCAACAAACATCTGAGCTCCTGAGTCTTGAGTTATTTGCTTCAGCTTTATCAGCATGGAGCTTTGGTGGAACCTTAGTTGACCTCTGATGTTAGGACTTTTGATCTGAGCATTGCTTAGACTTGTAAGTACTATAGGCTTGAGAGCTACAGCAATCTCTTTGATAGTGGCCAGGTCGTCCACATTTAAAGCACACACCAGGCTTTCATCCTCTGTGTCTTCTTGTTAATGACACGTGATTCTCCACCATTACTGCTATCTCCTTCCCTTTTTGCTGCTCTTCACTGAGCAAGGCTCTCTTGACAAACATCAAGGTGAGTTCTTGATCTCCCCTTGCTAGTAAAGCTGTCACAAGAGTTCAATAGCTTTCTTGCACACTCCTCAGTATATAGCAACTTTGTTGAGCTTGCTTACTTCCTCTTCTAGAACTATTAGTTGATCAGGAAGCTCATTTAGCTGTCAAATGTGATCCTGTAACTTTGATCCCTTCTTCATTCACAGCCCGTATAGCTGCATCAAGGTGTAGACCTTGTTCCTGACTGTTTTCCTCTCAAACAACTGACAGTGTGTGTCCCACTGTTTCCGGGAATCTTTGCACTTCATCACAGCCGGTATGTTCTTCCGGTGATGCATTGAAGGATTGAGTGAAAAGCATTGTGCTTCTTTGTCTCGTTTCCTTGACGTCCATGGTCAGCAGTTCCTATGGTGAACTCCCACTGCTCAGTTGCCTTCAGAGCATGAGTTATACCTGGAATTTCCAAACTGGCCAGTCTTTTTCATTGTTTAGCTGTAGTATCTGAGCAAAGAATTTATCCATTGTAGTAGCTATTGTCTCCTCTCTTTTATGCTGTAGGGGATGATGCTAGGCTCATAACCTGTAATAGTTTTTATTGAAAATACTGATCGACCAGAGTCCAAATAATTTGGACTCTGGTTGATCAGTATTTTCAATAAAACCTATTACAGGTTGTGACAAATAATACAGAGGAATAATGAATGTGTATGTGTGTGTGTAAAAGAGCCAGAACTGCATGAAACAAAATCAGATATACACACACACATGCATAATGATTAAATAACTGTGGTCACAACTAATGAATCTACGTTATTAAAATATTTTGTTCCTTTAGCAAGAGAGCGGCTCACTTCTATTGCCTATTCTCAACAACCCAAAGTAAAAGGTCAGTTCTCATAGTTATGTTTTGATTTTAGTAAATTACTTGAAGTCTGCCGTACTAACTTATAGTATATCCCACAATGATAGCTGGGATAATAGTTTTTATATAAGGTCCCAATGAGTAGATTTAGACCTTAACTCGATGATCATTCAATAATCATTGCTTTATTTTTATCAGTATCAAATATAACAGAATTAGAGCAGAAGCTTCATAGAATGAAAAGTCGTAAGTATATTAAATTTTTACTTTTTGACAACTGAGCACAAAAAGGTTTTCTTTTGAAGAATACATATGAAGAAGAATATGTATGTATTAAGAAACAAGATGATTCTGTGTGTCTTCAATTTAAAACAGAAAAAAATGGCGAGCTGAAGCTGACATATGACATGAAGGTTTATTAGTTACAAAAAATTACAATGTTCAAATATATTCTTTTGTAGACATGTATTGGAGTGTACCATAGGAAGAGCTTAGATCATGCCAAAAGGAAGTGGCCACCTAATGTTGATTCCAATTGTTGTTTTAAAGTGGTTGATCAGGATGATTCTAAGACTTTGTATCTTGTTGCTGATAATCAGTACATAGCCCAGTAAGCCTTATTGTGAAATTTAACTGCCATGAAAAAGAAGTTGGTTGCAGCAGCAAATGTTTTATATTGTTAATGTTGCAGCCAGGTGCATGCCATTGAGCCAAGTGCAGAGAAGCATTTCATTGGAGGGAAATTTTAGGCAAATTGCTAAGTTTTTGGTAACTGGTTTGGGCAAATTTGTAGCCATGTGCCATTGAGCATGTGCATAATGGTTCAAAGGCTTTATTTTAGCAAATGGCAAAATTCACCAAAATTTCTTGCTCCAAATTTTCCAGCTATATGGTATTTTAGTTATATTGGTGATTTTTTACCTGTAACCGCATTCCAAATTAATGCCCCACAAAATTTCCCACTATCATGATATTTATGCTATCTTATAATTGTAGAGAATGGGTGAAGGAATTAAAGCGACATGTACATGTAAGTTCGTTGCTCTTATATGAGATTATATTAAATCTTCTGGTATTTATATTGCAGATTAATAAATGCCGAGATTTAGATAAAAAGAAAGGAGATTTTGGTATTAACAATTATTATAATAATTCATTATAGTTAAGGATTTTATAGATGAAAGTAATTTGCAAGAATTGTATGACATATTGACTAAAGAAGAAATACCCCCTTGGGATATACTTGGTGCATCTTTGGGCCTTTTAAATGGTACACTAAAAAGAATTCAAAGCTACAGTGAGAATAATGAAATTCGTTTGAGGGAGTGCTTATTGCACTGGTTAAAATGGAGTGATTGTGTTGACGATACAGGAGGACCTACATGTGACAATCTAAAAGAAGCCTTGACATGTATAGGGAAACCAGAAATTGCAAAAAGACTCGATGAAAAAGTCTCAAAAACTAAAGGTATATTTGTTATAGTGAACTTAAAATAATTGTTTTGAAAGAAAGAGCATAATTATTTTTCTTTTAATTGCAGATACTCCCTACAGTATACAAGATATTAAAGAAGATGTATGTGATATAAATCAGCTCAATTATTAGTATAAATATATATTTATATTATATGAATAATTATTACAGCATAGCTATTATAAATTTTTTCTGTCTAACAGGGTAAAAGAATGAAGGTGTGGAAGAGATTTCAAAAAGAAAACCATTACAAGCAGGCTGTTGCCAGGGCAAAAAGGGGCCCAACTGGGAATGAGCTTCTTAATCTTGTTACACATAAAATGGAGCAATCTGATGTAGGGTCAGTGCTTGCTGAGATTTGTTTTCTATCAAGCGGAAAGAAGTCTAGCATTGTCACACTAGAAAATAAAACACCCAGCGAAATTAAATACCATAAATGCTTTATTGCCAGAGGTCGTGAAGCTAGTTATGTTGGATTTGACAGGAATGTTCCACCAAAACGTGACACAAGTTACAGCTTCGAGAAGCATACATACCTCTCAATAGATGGATGTGCTGCAATGATTTTTTTTTCGGCCACTACATGCAAACCAAATGCTACAGAATGTTTTTTTGTAGTTGCCTTCCGCAATTATGGAATAAAAACAAAACCAAACAAAACAGCTCTTATGATTCTTAATTCTTCTGAGTCTATAGAAGAACTGAGTGGTTTGCTGCAATATGCAAAAGTAATTGCAAATAAAAATGAAGATCCTGATTTACCCGGCTGTCATATTGGTCACGACTATCAAACAACATTTATGTGTGCTCTTAAAGGTCAGAGAAATATCCTGGAGTTTCCTTCTATAAAATTTCGTATTTATATGAATAATGACAACAATCACAGTCAATCAGTCATCACAGTGTCACATCCGGAAACTGCGTGATGCGAAGTAGTATGTACTTTTGAAATACTTATTAAACTGCTCATTTAACTTGACACTTTGATTAAAATTGTTTTTTCTAGTTGAAAAGTGAATTGTAAAATGAACTGTTGATTTTTGTTGGGGCGAGCCTGAGCGAGCCCCACTCAGGTGAGAAGTCTTCTGTACATGATGTATGTATATGTACGTGCGTCTCTAGTCACGCCTATTCTGCTCAGTCACACACCCATGTGTGTGTGTGCTACTAGGCAAATGTAGAACATTGAAGGGGCGAGCACAAGCTAGTATGGCAATATACAATGTTTAGATGTCAAAAGGCTAATGTTGTTGTCAAATTGTAACTTGAATGATACCACATGCAGAGCAGCTCAGAACTTGTGATTTGCATGCATGAAAGGGAACTTTATAGCTTGCTCTTCTAGCTTTATTAGCAGTGAAGAATCTCAGTTGTAACTTTAATAAGTATAGTTTAATTTTTACTATGATATTTTCAAGCACATGCAGTACTTTTAGACTTTCTTTTCTCTGATGAGCCATTTGAAGTGCTTTTATATTCTGTCATTCAACCATAATTAATACAAACTTGAAAATTGATGAGTGTTTTCTTGAATTTTCTCTGCTGATGAAGTGTCTTGACAAGAGATCAATCTTATGTTGCATTGGCTAAGGTATGTGCCATCAAAGCGTCTAGAGACAGGAATGAATCCAATTAGTTATGTGGGTGGTTTTATATATGTAATACGCATGCACATTACTCCCTCATGGTAGTGATGGGCGATACTAGTTTTTTCTTTATCGATACAATACTGATTATTATTCATCTTAGTATCGGTAGTATTGATTACATATGTGATTACTTTATTGTAATTTTTATCAATAAACTGAAACTCCAGAAGTAATGAATAAAAGGTCCTAATCACTCACGCCTTATTAAAAAAGTATCATATCAACATTTTTGGCTGGACTGAGTAGGTTCTAAGTTCCTAAGGGAACTAGTCTCCAGTTCCATTGTTTACCATGAGTAATTCCAGTCACTTTACAGTTCAGCCTTCAGTCTTCAGGTGTGTTAATTGGATAAATCAGCACGTGTTAATTAACTGCGCATGCGCAGAGTAATCACATTTCAGAGCCCGATACTTTTGCAAGTAATCGATAACTAACGATACCGTAAATTTATCGATAAATATCGATTACTTCGATACTTTTCGATAGTATCGCCCATCACTACCTCATGGACAAAAATCAGTCACAAAATGGCTGCCACCAACTGAGTGTTTTTCATATTTCTAGTGCTGTCTTTGTGGTTCCAGGCCTTTTTGCTAGTTGTTTGCATGAGGTGGATCACTGATTAGACTAATAG